GGGTACAATGGGCAGCTTTGTATATATGTTGCTATTTTGCTAATGCACTTTTAGCGTATATATAGATAAACAGTTCAAATATTGATTGGTATTTTGTGGTATTAATAGGCTCACTTTAATCTGGTTTAGTCTCTAAAGTATATTACATTGATCAGTGACCACTGATATATTTTCTTAGTGAGACTAAATTATGCTCTTTCCCGAAGGATATGTCTGTAAACAAAAGTGCCTGGAGGAATAGTTTGGATAGTGAAAGAGAGCTGAGTATGTGTCAGTCAGGTGTAAACTGCTGGAAATAACCTGTTACTGTTTATGGGCCAGCTTGTTCAGATCGCTGCAGAATAGAGTTGGTTGGGAGCCAGCGATCAAACACTTCTTTTGTTGGAAAATGCCAGTATGGGGAAACAGAAGTATTTCATAGGAATGTGTCAGGTCTGATGAAGTTTTGATGAAATACAAACAGGGTCCTGCTGGAAGCCTACCATGTTCCTGCCAACCCGCACAGGTTGTTGTTGGACCACAAATTGTTTATTCTTCAAAGGCTCATGTTGATAGGGCTGCCCCAGCCTCCACAGGTCCTGACCCTCCCTGGTGCTGGTGGGGCTGGGCAGTGTGGAAACCTTGGCTGAGGCTTAGAGGGTGGTCTTCCAAGAATTATTTGATCATGCAAATTTCAAACCTCAAATTTCAGTATCTTCATTATGACAAAACAATTCTTTTACATGGATTTTCTACTCCATGAGGTGTTTTTGTATTTTGAATTTTGCAAAAGGCAGTGAAGTTTGCAATTATTTTAAGTAAAGGTATCTTACCAACAAAACAAAATTTCAACTTAATCTCATACAGTTGATGGTACAGAAATGCTACTGAAATGATACATATGGATTACCCAAACTTTCATATAAGGTCCTTAGGTTTCGACAGCAACATGTTGTTTGGGTCAGGAACATGTAGTGGTCTTCCACTGTTTAAAGTAGTAGAATCCTTAATGTCATATTAGAAAACTTCCCTGATGTTACTGTTTTAAAGAATGTTATTTATTACACTAGAGAACTAGTGAAAAGTAATTTTTAGCTATGTGGTGGGAACAAAATATAACTGGAATATGTAAACTCTATAAGTTTATGGAAATATTGAGTTAAACACTGTAAAGACTGATAAGTAAATTTTAAGAACAAACAGATTTCTGTGAGACTGACAGGTTATAGATAACGTATAGATAGTGCTCTTTCCTTTGCTATAAATATGAGAGTCTGTTTTTATTCCCACCTATACTGATTTTTTTTTTTTCCCATTGTAACTCATTTTTCTGCAGTGGAGCTAATGATTTATACTAGTGCAAATAAGAATCAGAATTGGAAGCATTACTTTCAACCCAGCAGTGTCCATTTAACCGTCACAGTGGGTAAAGACAAGAGCTCTCAGAGAAGGTTGTTTATCCTTATGGGAAGGGACAATAAAAACCACAGGGGATTTCCCTTCTGGCCTGGGTGGAATTTTAAGGGATGGAAAAGGGTAATTTTTATTCTACACTTTAATTATCCAAGACCTTTGATGTTAGTGGTAGATATCAGTATAAATCTCAAGGGCATGAAGTTAATGGAATTACATTAAGGGTGAATTTTCCTCAAGGAGCAATTCACACACTCTGCTTTGCAGCTAAGAGCGCTATAGGTCAACAAGGCTTTGCTAATTATTACAGATTATGTGAAACATGACTACTTAGACCACAGAAATATGCACTGTTCAATTACACATGTATAACCAAAAAGACAATATTATTTTGAATCTTTCCTGTTGAACAAGTACTAGAATTTTTTACTACATGACTCCAGCCAGGAGCACTGATATGTTAGCTGGAGGACTGTAAGTATAAACCAAGGTCTTAAGAGTTTAATCCTCATTTTTGTACTTAAATCTTGTACTGTTTGCATTCTCTGTTACTGGGACATTCACACGGTCCCTGGTGACTCCTGGGACACAAAATGTGTATCCTGTGCAGCCAAAGGAGCAAAGCCAATGCTGTCACATAATAAATAAAAATGTGGAAGACGAAATGTTATAACATCCTGGAGGGTGTAGTAAGCAAAGTCAAGCTAAGAAGAATGTATCCAAAAACTCCTGTGAGGCAAGACCAAGTATTTTCAGTTCAAAATATCACAATGGGAGTGCGAAGGCATTATTTCCATCATCTCTGGTGGTAAAATAGAGGTGTGGAGGAACAAGGGCAGAGATCCAGGAGGAGAGCTACCACCAGCACTTTCAATGTCTCCAGTGTATAAGAGTGGCCATCGTAAAAAAACCAGCAATGGTCACATGAGGTTACATGATATTATAACCTCCCTTTTGGAAAGAGAAGCTATTCTGTGGCAAGTCTTGGAAACTACTTTTGCTGAAGACTGGTCTCTATTTGGAAATTGTCCATGTCTGTGGGAGAGGCCTGTAGTTTGGTCTTATTGATGGTGAAGTTATGGTAAAAGTGATTTAGAGGGAAAACTGTGTTCTGAAAGGGCAGTGGCAGGAAGAAAAATGTCTCTGTGTACACAGTGGCTCAGTCTGCAAAAGCATTAATTTAAAGACTTCCTATGCTTTACTATCATTAACACATTGTAAACACATGAAGCTAACTATTCATAAAATAGCATCCATTTCATGGTCCAGATCACTCCCCTCTTGTGGGAAACCATGCAGGAAGAGCAGGAGGAGCCCCTGGGGAATAGGAAAAATTTCAATGTCATTCCTTAAGGGAAGATAATATTTCTCTGGCCCATAAACAAACAGCTCATTTTAATGTGAGAATTGGTATAGCTGCAAAAGTGCCATAGGATCCAAAATCCAACTCTCCTCCATGATTCTGTATCCCATTAGTCCAGCAGAAAGTAACTCTGGGGCTATAGTGAATCTTGTGCTTCTTAATTCTCAGCCTGATGCTTTTGCAGGTCTCACTCCCCAAGAAGTTAAGCAGAAAGTCATACAACCTGTGGCAGATAACTTAATTATAAGGTCTTAGATAAAATAACATGATGAAGTCTGGGTTTACTTGTCATGAAAAGCTGAAGAATTGAGTTTATTTTCTCTATCACAGAAAAAAAAGCAGTCTGTCACTCCAATGTGACATGGGTTACTCTTCCTTTTTCCAGGCTAGTGGATATATTAGGTCATAAGTCCATGGACAATGACAGATGTCCATGTCAACAGTGATGGCAGTGTCAAGCTGAGGACAGATACTGCCTCACCTCTCTAAAGACAGCATCTCTTGGTTACTGCTATATTTCCAACTGGCACTGTCATCTGCTAAGCAACAGCTCTGCCCTGTTTCTCATTCTGCATTACTCTGAATTTCTTGAATCCTGCTTCTAGTCACTGCTGCAACTCCTCCACCTGTTTTTTGTTCCTTTGGATATGAGCTCTGCCAAAAGTTTGCTGAAAGCATGAAAAATGTACTTTCACTGCTCTGCTGAATTCTGGGACAGGAGAGTGGGAGGGAAGAGAGTCCATCTCCCAGCCCTGCATTCTCACACTCACACATCACAAAAGCCATGGAGCTGGGCTGGAAAGGGCAGAGGCTGGTGTCAGTGTCAGACTTTCATTTCCAATTAAAGATGTCATATGTGTGTCTGTGCTACTGAGGACAGGCCAGTCCTCTGTAATGAGATATGAGCTTACAGGAGAACTAGACTAATTGTCCTAGCAAAGTTCTGAAAACACTCATGTGGTAGCAGGTATAAATAAAAGATCTAACAGTCTCTTTCAATTGATATTACTTGTATTGCACTTGAAATGTATACAGTGCTACATGAAGAAAAGCATATACCACCAGTGTGAGCAACAACTTCCAGCTCTGTAAGAAGTGGGAAACACATTTTTTTCTCAAATGAGGTTTGACTTAAACTAGTGGCACTTTGGGCAGCTGTTAAATTGTATTTAGAACTGGCATTTGCAGACATCTTATCACATCCAGATTGAGGCAGAAATTGGACAAAGATGTGAATGGCCATTGTTCATCTCAAAGCTATTCCTGTATTCTCAGTAGAGCTGTTGATATTTGAATTGGGGAAGCTCCCCTCTCTCTGTTATATTGTTTCACCCCTCCACCAGCAGCAGTTTTGTTTTCTTGTAGAGAACCCCTCTTTTGGACTGCCTGTGCTCAGGCAGCAAGGGCTGAGGTGTGGGGGGACCCACTCTTTACCTGCCATCTTCTCCAGCATAAGGCTGACAATCTCAGAAAGCCAGCATTGCTTGCAGTGCAGCAGAAAGATAACCTACAAAACTTGGTTAAATGGTTGCATGAGATATAGGTGTATATGTATATGTATTTATTTATATGCATAAATTTCTCTTGACAAAGAAATGGCAAAGTGCAGCTGGGCAGAACAACTATCTTAGCCTTCCTTTACATTTCTTCTGGCAGAAGTTCTACCAGCAAGAGAGCCCACTGAGCAGTCATGAGGCAGAAGCTCTGGGCTGTGTTTTTGCCTGTGAATGATGGACTCTCAGACTCGAAACCAGGCATGCAGCTTCCCTGAGACCCAGTCGCTGTGCCAATAAAACAGACTGGTGAAAGACATCTCCCTAGGGTGTGGTGAGGATGAAAAAATAGTTGGAAAAAGCATTGAGGTACTCAGCTGAAAGGTACTTGATACTATCAAGTAATTGTTATATTTATTCACTGATAAATAGCTTTTTGGACAGTCCTTGGGAAAATGTGGACATTTGAAAAGAGGCCAATAATATTCTTTACAGGAAAAGCAATGACCATAAATTTGAACATGCTTTATATAGTTTATATCTGAAGAATGAAAATATATATGTAGATTAAATTACTACATTTGTAGAGTATAAAAATAGGATATAGTCATAATCCCCCTTTGAGTAAAGCGGGAAAAATAAAAAAAAAAGAAAAAAACAAAAATCCAGCTGCTTTGCAAAGTTTCTAGATGCAGAATTCAATAAAACCTTGATGTATAAGCAGAACTGAGCTTGGATATATTAATCTCCAAAACCCTTTATTTTGCAGCCAAAATATGCCTACATGGAGTAGATTAAAAATATTTATACAAGGCAAAATTCCAAGGCTAGTGAACATCCTGTTGCCAAAGACATTTTGCGGACAACAATATATCATTTTACCACATACAGTAGTTACTGCTTTCACAGTGAGAGAATATGATAACATAGATATATACACATGAAACTCAGAAATTATGTTTGTGCCCACAAGTTGACTGAAGTGTCTCATATGGCCATGCAGGAGACCAAATCCTCCAAGTGACTGCAGATGCCCTCTTTCCAGGCTGTGAATAATTGAACTGTGAATTTGAACTTCATGAAAAAGCTGTGTAAGTTAAAAAATAAAATGCTGTTTAGATGTGATGGATGTCTTTGGTTGCTAGCTATAGACTTGGAGTGAGTTGCCCTGCTGCACCACAGATTTTCTAAGTGAGGCAAGGGAGCACTTTAAGACCTTCCCATCACCTTTAGAAACATTAGTGAGCTAATAACTGCACATTAGTGAGCTAGAGTTAAAGCTTCCCTTCATTGGTGAGCCACAAAAACCTATTCAGAAAAACAAGTCAAGGAGGATAAAAGTGAGTCAGGCCAAACATCCACACTGTCCAGAGCCCCATATCTGAGAGCAGGCTTTGAATTATCTCTATGCCATGAGTGTGCCAGATCTCCTCAAACCTACTACTGCAGCACAATGCAATGACTTCTGAATTTTATTTCTTACTGTTACATACCCTTACATTTTTTTTTTCAAGTCTGCCATGGCTTTATCTCATTTGGTAAAATCCCCTCCTGAAATAAAATGAGACACAGTGACTATCTCCTCCACTTTCTTTGAGGGACATTATTGTACACATTTCTGAAAGATCTTCCTCAGGCTGAAGACTCCAAGCCAAATTTCATGTCTCTTTGGTGGAAGTATTTCCACTTCAGTGCCCACTTTTATCTTTCTTGTCTCTCTCTTGCTAGGTTGCTAAAATCTCTTAGAGATGAGGGGATGACAACACAATGATCAAACTGTACGTGAACCAAATATTCGTGTCACAAAATAATGTCAACTTTTGGTGTGTGGGGTTTTTTTTTCCTTTTTTTTTTTCTTCATTTCTCTTCCTTGTTCTTTTCTTCTTCTATATTCCCTTCCAGAAACACTTCTGTTTTATATGCTGCTTTGGTATAGGCCTTCTATGGGCTCAACCTCCCTCTGGTGGCTCCTGTCTATCTTCTGTTACTGTAGACAGAACTCAGGGAAACTGTGATCCTAAAGCATACTTACCAGAAGTACTCCATGTTATATTTCTAAAATGAGGAGGAATTAATACAGACTTTTATTTCCCAGTTTGTTGTGCTCAAAAAAACCCAAATAATACTGTGAAAATTAGCCTGAGAGACACAGAAATAATATTGCAATAGAACATGTGAAATATGATTACTTACATTAATTAACAATATTCAGAATTAGTGAATTTCATGAAGTGTGGTTATCTCCAGTTTTGGCAAAATAATCCTTTTGTTCTGTCAATTTTATTAAGAACAATAAAAGCAAGGTATGTGGAAAATACTAACAATAGATAGAGATGTTAAACATGCTCCAAAACCAGGTATCTTAACATTCTGTTTAATAAAAATAAGTCTGAAATAAAAATGAAACAAAAGACAATAAAAACTGTCTTTTCTGGATGATGCTGGGGAATAAAAAAACCAAAACAACCCTACTTTTGTTGGGCATTAAATGAAACAGTTTTCATCCTGGCACAGTGACAGACCACATTATGACAAAGTTAACATCATTTTTCGTTTTCACAGCACATTTTGTAAAACAATTTATTGGCCTTGGTTTGATGTTCACTTTGAGTTTTTTAAAGAGGTTAGAGGTCTATGAAAAGAATGTAAGGAAATTCCTCTTCTTGGATATTTTTAATCTGAAAATGGAATATTTCTTTGATTAAAAGAAAAATTAAATAATGATTCATATTTACTTTTGAACACTTTGTTAGATAAAAATGAGTAATTATTCAGATCTGGAATTTTGGACAGTTTGAAAAAGGGCTCAAGAAGTCATTTCAATACAAAGAAATGCAAAATGACAAAATTTTCATTTCAAAGTGTGTACTTTCATCATATTGCTTAGAATTTTCAACACAAAATTGCAAAAACCAACTTGTTGTCCAACCACTTGCATTTTGTCGGGATTTATTTATTTATTTTTTGTTTGTTTGTTTTAAAACTCTTGGGCAAGCAGCTGTAATCTGCTCTAATTATAATGCCCCACTGTACAATAATTAGTCCAATTTTTTAACTCTACACACTCTGAACATGAACCACATATTAAAGAAATCAGACCTAAAAAATTGACTATAAAATAAATGAGTATCAGGGACTATGCTATTTTGTCACACAGAATAATAAACTTTAGTGGAGTCAATATCCAAAATTATTTAAGCTGTTCCATTGTACACCTCAGTGTCAAATTTTTAGATGATTGCACATTCCAAAACTACTTAATTTACAGTGAAGGAAGGCTGGACTCTGCTTTTTATCTTTACCAAGCTTTCAAGCAGAAACAAATACCCTGGCCTCCCAAAACTTAAAACAGAAGCAATAAAGTACCAAAGAAAAGATGAGAACTTCTCCATTCCAGAAGAAAGCTGCTATTGGCAGCTACATTCCAGGACATCCTGTTTTGATTTTTCTATTTAATCTATTCATTTATTCATCTCAACTGTTTTTCAAACATTTTCAGTAAGGATCATTAAACAATTGTCGAAATATTTTCTCTTAATTAAAAAAAAATAAAAATCAAAATTAAAAAAGGGGACTTTTCAGCCAGAGAAGCACTTTAGGATGGTTCAGAGCATTTTGAACCCAGTGCCACCGAGTTATCACCCTCACATAGGTGTACAAGGGGTGTTTGCAGAAGTGATGTCCTGCATTGTGCTTGAGACATCAGGTATTTATTTCCCTGCTCCCAGACTTTAGGCACCCTCTACACAGGCAAGACCTGACCCTGCAGACACCTTCACATGTTAATTGACAGCTCTGATAGACACAATGCCACTTTGACTCAACTTTATTCATATGCATGAAGTCAGAGGCATGGATGTGAAACACAGGATTAAATGTAACCTCACTTTTTATTTTCCATCTAACTCTTTTTTCCTGAGCTACACATTGCAGCAAATACTTGTTTACTGCTGCATTTCCCAAGACTTTTTCTCCCTTACTATTGTTTCATAATGACACTATTCTATGGAAATGATAAAAATATTTTGAATGCAATATATATAAAGCTGTTGTTGATCGAAAATTACTTCAAGATATATATAAATTGCCTTTAGTTTTGTTTTACCTCCTTTTGCACTCTATATTCTATTGGAAAAACATTTGGCCTGCTCTTTTTTTTTTTTTTTTTTTCCTGAATAAAACAAGCCCATTCTTTTCCAATCTGGCAAATAAAACTTAATAAAATTATATTCTTTGATCTCTACCTAACAAAGAACTGTATATTGTTAAATGAAGTGGAACTGCAGTTACACAGTTTGCTGTGGACACACACTCCTGGAATCAATTATCTATAGATTTTAGAGGAGCGCAGAATTTACAGACTTTTCAAATGGGAACTGATAGTGAGCTGAAGGAAAACCACAGATGTTTCATAGTGGTGCAATGACAAGAAAGAGATCAATAAAACACTATGAAGAAAAATTTTAAAGGAAATAATATTTCCAGATTCATATATAATATTAAATTGGGCATTGCTGGACAATATAATTTAATTACTTGCAGAGATAAATATGTACATATTTTAAAATGGTTTCTGTGAGTTACTTAATAGTATGGAAATTTAATTGCAGCTTTAATATCAAAGTATTAAGTAACTTTTATGTATCACATATTGTTAATAAAGTGATGATATAATGTCCACTCACCTCACAGCAGGAGGAGTGCACTTCTACAAAGTTTACCATAACCAGCAAGAGTGATGGAAGCTGCACAATTACAGCTTCTGCCAGAGCCATGTCTGTTCTTTGCTGGACATTCAAGATGCACTATGAACCATGGTGAAGGAAATGCTTGTAAGTTTTCTAGATGCCATCAGCAGATGACTGCTCTGAGGAGAAGGTTTATAAATGAAGATCCAGCTGTGTAACCATTTGACACCAGATACATTCATATCCACATCCAGGAACTGTTATCTGAGCCTGGAAAACTGGACTTAGAATTGCACAGGCTTCCTTTGCATTCAGCAAGGAAAGACAGGATCTCCAAAGGGTGATTCTATCTCCCCAGTGATTCTAAAAGCAGTGTAGAAGGTTGACTCAGATGCTGACACTAATGCTGTGGATACCTAGAGCAGGACAAACAAGTCTCACGGGTGCTTCTGTGGGTGATTCAAGCCAGCTGAACAGTTCCATTCAGCTCCAAATCAGCACCAGTTACAGCTGCACACTGAATCTGCATCTGCATCACTTGGGGTTGGTACAGGTGTCAGGTAGAATGAGTTCACATTGAGTTCAATTTGAGTTACCTCAAAGCCCTCCTAGGTGCATCCCTGGGATACATGGAGAAACCATTGTAACAAGTCCTAGAGTTTTGATAAACAACATTCGTTAATCACATTCTTTAAGGAAACCAAAGCCCAAACCACAGTAAAGATCCACTTACCTTTCAGCTTCACCTCTAGTTTGTCATTGTAGATAAATTGTCTTTAGAATTTTGGCTGAAAGCAGTGTTGCTCTTTGGTAAGGCATCCAGAGTGACAGATAGAGACAAAACATGAAATGTTGAAAGCTGTGAAGGTTTGTACAACTGGCAGGTACAAGGTAAAATCAGAAGCTGATATGAAGAAAGAGCACAACTGGTCATAGAGTTTAGTGTGGAAAGTAAAACAAATAAAAGATTTATCAAGGAAAAGAGAACATATGGATTTAGGACAATGGGTCAGGAGGATGTTTCTAGCTGTCTCACTTTGAAGGTTCTGTAGGGAAGTCAAGAGGTTTTTATCTACTTATCCTTTTCTTATGATCCTTTTTGCTAACTATTAATATTTACATTTTTATATAGAAAAATGAAGGTGAAGACCTTTCCTGTTGATGGATTTGCTGTCCACAGTGCTCTGAATTAAAAATGTGGATTCTGTCTGATACCTGCTGTCCTACATTACTTTGATTTGAGTCTTAAATTTTCTCTTTTCATGTTAATATTTCAGATTACTCTTGGTCACATAGTTAAATCTTGCACAACTAAAAGAGTATAGTGGGGCAGATCCAAATAGAAAATACTAAGTACTTCATTCAAGGTATGATTGCTTTCTTCCTACAATGCACACCTCTTGGAGCTGGGTGGGTCTAGTTTCTACAGTCACCTTTTCCATATCACCCTGAAATCCAAGAAAAAGGAGTCCTGCAGTCACAAATTATTTAGCTTATGGATAGTAGAACTGCAGCTCTGGCAAGTGCCCTGACCATGAGACCATCCTTGGGAATAATCATATCCACTTCCTCAGTGGAGTGTGGGCTGCCCCAAAAAATTGGATGTTACCATGAACATGGAAAGCCCAGCTCTGTCTGTGGTTGTCCACAAATGAAGCAACTTCTGAGAGTCTAAGTGTAACTAAAATTAAGGATTTAGAATTCTTTCACCTGATACAGATGAATTAATGAATTCCGATGTCTACAAAGCCATGCAGCTCTCAGAGTGAATTTGTTCTCTGGATTTGAATAGATTTCAGGATTCCACCTGGGCACCACTCCTGAGGAACTGGAAGCAGCAATTATCAGGAGTGGAAAAATCAGAATGATGTTAAAGCCACGGCTCCTGTTTACAGCCTAAGCATGTGCCAAGTACAGCTGCACTCAACATTTATCAGTGGAAAAGAGGCCTCCAGCTGTCTTGTTGACAGGTACTAACCTTGCATTGCTCTGCCACAGTAATAGATTGTACTTATGATCAAAAATAAAGTATTCTGTTATACCCATGTAGCCACACAGCCTTTCTGCCCTGTACTCATCAGCATTTACATACACAGTCAGTAATTCAGTGCTTGTGCAACTGTGCAAACAATAACACTAGATAGCACTGTTTCTTTTAAGATCTTTACAGATCTCTGGTTGAAACATAATCCTGACCTAACCATGTCCTCCTCCTCTAAAAATGGGATGGTATTTGAAAATATGATGGTACTATGAAAGCTTGTGGAGCTGAGAATGGGGACATTTAAGCTGAAGTGTTTGATCTTTGCACTCAGAGTTAAGCATCATTTAGACAGCCAAGCGGCTTAATTTTCAGAAGGGCAGACTGACTGCAAACGTGCTGGGTAATTAACATCCCAACAGTCCATTTAAGTAACTTAATAATGTTATCCCTGATTTACTGAGTAGGCTTCTGGCTCGCAAATCAATAGCACAGCCAGAAGGAGATCCCAGAGCATGTAACTCCCCCTCCAGAGCTTCTCTTCATTAAGCAATGAGTAAAGTTTAAACCTCTACAGATATTTTGTGGATAGAATAGGTAACCTCCTGCTGCAGGTGAGGTCAAAACACAGGCATGCCCTCACCAGGGACTTCCTAAGTAATATCAGATCTGCCCACACCTTCATTCCCTGAGCAACTTACCAGGTTTTGACTGTCTCACAGAGAGAGTAAAATCCAGCTTCAACCCAGTAGTGGCAGTAACATGAACTCTCCCCAGGGCCAAAATTTTTGATCACACACTCAGAAATATCTATGAGAACAATCCCCCTTTTAATGTTATTTCTGTATAAATTATGCACTACTCCTATCCAGCCAACATTTTTTTTATCAGCAAAAGTTATTTGGTAAGGTTTTTGTTTTCATACTGAGTTTTGATTAAGGAGGAGGAAAAAAAAGAGCATTTCATTTTCACAGTATCTCTCGGCAGAGCAAGCACTCCTGTTTCTACTGTGGGATTTTGTTTTTCTCTACAGTATGTCTTGACAAATAGCCCTCTCTGATTACTATGCTTGCACAAGATTTCATTATGGTTTTGATAACATGCCACAATCTTTAAGTTTCTGTTTGATATAAAGAGTCTGTCCCTGAACAGTAATCATGAGAGAGTGGGGAATATTGAGTGTTAGAGTTTCCATATTTTATGAGCTGCCAAAATAAATGATTTAGGGCAGAGAAGCCTGTATTAGTAGCAGATCTCCAGCTTCACTAAGGCAAGATACAGTGCTGATGAGTGGGCCAGTTTGTGGGAACTTATTTTTAGTTCCATTGTTATGACTTCAGTCTTCAGAGCCCAGATTCCCAGGTGGTATGAGTTGATCTGGTTCCATTGTCTTCTGTGCAACTGTGAGTTCTACACTCATTTATGATTCTCTCTATAGCCCATTTATGTCTAAGCATCTGGTGCTGATGACACAAGACTCTTCCGGACATATTCAAAATTTTCATTTTACCACTGCCCAACATGAGCAGTTTTTTGATTATTTGCAGTGCTTCTTGGGGTCTTTCTGATCCCTTCTATACTAATTCTATATTTGACTGTAGAAGTGGTATCAGTCAAAGGGGAGTCAAGTTAGTTTTAAACTTTGGCTGGCTGCAAAAGAGGAGTAATACACCAGAGATCAAAGGGAAATATTTTCCAAGGATCTCATCCAAGGGAACTCCTCTTGGATGAAAATATTCCAAGGGCCACACAGACTGAAAAAAGTCTCTCCAGAGGCCAGAACTGCCCATTTTCAGAATCTCTGTGTTAACAACTTCCAATTCTCTGTTTGAGGAAACTTCTCTGGTGGTTCCTGTTTCACTGTGTTGTTTATTATCTGTCTACTTGGGGAATCACATGTAGGTAGTGTTTCCCACCATGTTAATTTTATCTTACATATATCTTAAAAAGCAATGCTGAACTGCTCCCAAGGCTGTGGGAAATTGTGTTTCTGGGAAGTTACTGATTTACAGTAAATATCCTGGTGACATTTGTCCAGTCAGTGGAGTTTCACTAGTAGTGAGTTGAAATTATAAGATATCCCCTCAGCAGACTCTGATATGTTTGGGGTTTTTTTTCCCTTAACAGAGAATTTCAATGCATCTATAATCAAAGGAAAGAACACTTTAGCTTGTAGTCATGACCAAATTCTGACTAATACGGGATTGAGTCAGTACATTGGACCTAAATTCTAGATTGTGACCAGACTTGTACTCAGTTACCTTCTCTCACAAAACAGAGGACTGAATACTGAAATAAATCCCAATTAGTCATCATGATTCCCATCCTTTGCATACTGAACTGATGAGTAAAGATCTTGCCAGGAAGAAAGGGAGGAAGGGATTTAGATTTCTCATTGTCATTGCTGTAAAGAATGTAGGATAAAGTAATCAAGTGAAATCTCTTGTCTGCTATGTATTATCTTAGGCAATAAAAGTTTAGCAAGCCACATTAACTTGGTGATCCACTTCACACACCTGTGTCCTGTTATTTTCTAATTACATTATAAAAGATTTGTGTCTACATTAAAAGAGTATATTGAGGTCATTTTTACACAGCTTCATATTCTGAGAGGGACTTTTTTCTGAATTTTCATTCCTAATATATTGAAGGGGAGGCTATTATAAAAACAGTGAATCAGAGGATCAAGGAAATAAGAGAACCTCTCTGGAGGTCATCTAGTACAGTATCTTGATTACAGCAGGACTACAACAACAGTAGATCTGACCAGTTGAGGTCAAGTCTAGATGATTCTTGAAACTCTCTGAGGACAGGCCTTCCATGCAGATGTGGGCTCCAGTGTTACACTACCATCCTAGTGAAGAATTCTGATGTTCCAGGTGAACCTCCCAAGCTGCAGCACTTTGTTCTTGCCCTTTGTTAAATTATCTCCTTCTCCTGAGAGTAGTTTTGTCCCATTGTCAACTTTACAACTGTCCTCCAAAGAGTTGTAGTCTGCTGTTAAATCACCCCTTTGCCTCCACATCACTGCTGAAAGGCAGGGCAACTTCTTCTGGCCTTCCTCTGGCCACATTCCTCCTAATGTGATCCATCATACCATTTTCTGTGCTTGTGATCAGAGCACACTCATGTCCATTAGTCTGGTATTCCCTAAGTGCCAAATGTCCTTTTCAAAAAGGCTGCTGTTCAGAAAATTTGCTCACTGACTTGTGCTTGCCCCAGGTATAAACCTTTGCATTTATCCTGACTGAATTTTGTGAAACTTCTCTTAGATTAATCTTCAAGTTTGTCAGGGTCTCTTTGGCTTCATACTCCAGTTGTAGAGTGTGTCAAACCCTGCAGTTTGCAGTTAATTAAGTATTGTCTACACATTTGACAAGGGTGGCTTCTGTCTCATTTTCCAGGTCATGGCAAAAGATGATGAAGAGCACCAGTCCTACTATCAGTTCCCAGGCTGCTCTGCTTGTTTCTGGCTGCCAAATTGATACTGAGACACTAATTAGAATGAGGTGCCTTGGCCAGTATTCAACCCATCTTGAAGACAGTTTGTCTAGCCGGTATTTCCTCAGCCTACACATGAAAACACTGTGTGGGATGGTGTGAACAGTTTTACAGAAGCCAGAGTGTATTACATGTTATCTGCACAGACACTTATTTCTTCATCAAAAGCACTTGGGCTGGTGCTGTGTGATCTGCTGATGTTGACTGTTCCTGATTACCTTCCTGTCCTTCAAGCTGGTGAAGCTATAATGCTAATGGGGTGGTGGTGGTGGAGAGAATGGAAAGCTCCTCTGATGGAACAGGTTTCAGTTAAATGATACACCAAAATATTCTACCACTCAATGCAAATGGCTGTGCATTAAACCAGTGCAGGTTTTGGCGGCACCAAAAAATCTGTCTCCTGAGACTCTTCCCCTTAGCAGAGCTTTATTGCTGTTGGAGGTTTTGTGTGTCTTGACTTGGAAAGCAGATAAGTATGCAACGATACAAGAACATTTATAACTTTATAAAAATATAGTTTTAGCAAATCTAGTTTGTTCTTGGCACCAAATTAAGCTGTCTCTTACACCACCTGGTCTTTCCTGTATCATGCCCTTTTCTCCTATTCTGTTTGTCATGTTCCTTGATAAACTATTTTAAATATCATTGTTATTAAGTATCACTCCTGGACATGAGTCAGGATGAATAGCTCATTTCACATCTCCAACAGTTGTTGTTTTAGGGTTTCCATAAACTCAGCTAGACATCAATGTATCAGTTACATTTAGGCCATATGTTCAAGACTTTATTTAAAGCATTAGGAACAGCATCTCATATTTTATTCTGCTCAGTATATTATAATGTAAAAAAAAAAATAAAAATACAAAAGACAAAATTAAAAGGATTTTGGGTTTGGTCAGACTGAAACCTTTCAATTGACCTCAAATTAATTTCATCCAGCCATTTCCCTTCAGAGAATTTTGAAATTTTCTAGTGGGGAAAAAAGCCAAGGTTTTAAATCCTTTGTGAAAAAGATTTTCATTCCCTGAAGAGCTGTAAAATTCAAGTAACAAACATGTACATGTTTTATCCCCTCCTAAATCACATGTCAGCTTCCTGCAGGCGAATGCCAGCAGTTCCTGTCAAAGGTATAAGGTATAAAACTATTCTGGTAGGAGCTGAGCTTCAGAGACTTCCTGGCTAACATGGGGATTGTAAAAAAATCTAAAATAGATTGGGAAGGAAGGCTGCATTCATGTGAAACATGGAAGCTCTTCTCCAAGATCAGAGGTGATTTTTAAAGGGTCAGGATCCTCTGGATTGTTAGAATAGCCTTAGGCTTTTCTTTGGAGAGATACAGCTTGAAGTAAAGAGTGTTAAGGTAATAAAAATTACTCCAGTTACAGGATTCTTCAGCTGGAGCTTTCTGAAAAATTTGAGAAGAAATATGTGTCCTCCCTGGAGCTCACATAAGAACTATGAGTGGATAATGGATAAAGTAAGAAATTATCATTTTTCAGGAAAACAATCCAAGCCATTTCAGAGAAGAAAATGAAGCCACAATGATAATAAATAATTAAATAATATTTGGTTATCTGTGCCAAGTTGTGTGAATATGTCCCTAGTTTAAATGAGTGTAAGTCAGAAGACATGCAGAATGAGGAATTTGCTTTAGAATTAGTCCTTAAAATAGACAGAGATACTCTTAAAGTAAGTAACTGAAGGTTATATTCTGTGTTTCACTCACAGTCACAGTAGATGCAAATAACAGATAAACAGTATCCTACATGGTGCATCTTCTGGCCTATGCTGGATTTTTCTCTGCAGCCTCTTATTATTTTGATTTTTAGGAAGTTAAAAGATCAAAAGAAGTGTACACAATGATGAATATTGTTTTGTAGACTATTCTGTAAATAGTCTATAAAATATTTTTATCAGTGAGGGCGCTTTTATGATCTTAATCCTAGGAACTTTTTTAACCTAAAATATAGCATCTGCAGTAAATATAAACTGATTTTTGGCTAATACTTTAAAATCCTCTGTAACTATTTTTTTTTTTTTTTTTAGCCTGTAGACCTGGATTTACATTTATTTCATCTGACATATACAAACATCCAGTCTTGGTATCAAAGGTCAAGTAAGTTACCTACACTGGCTGTGGAACAAGGTCATCCATGGGTGAGGTGGCTGAGCTTCCCGAAATCCACTCCCTGGTTTACCTCACTGCAGCTTCACCAGTGACTTGAGCCCATCTCTGTGAGAAATTAATGAAGCCACTGAAATCAAAGGAAGAAATTAAATGCTTGTGTATACTCCTGCTTAACTCACAGGCTTTAAAAATTATTTTAATTAATTTAATAGAACTTGCCTTCTAGCTATATCTTATTTTTCCTTTTATTTAATAATATTTAATTATTAATATTTAATAATACTTACATAAGTGTTACTTTTTGTATGTACACTTCTATACACGTTGTTTCTCTGGGTGGATATTCCTTTTCTTCACCTAGATTCTTGAAAAGTCTTGCAGACTTCTTTGCATCCCCAGCACATAGGACTGTGAGCCCGATTAAGCTCCAGCCCTTGATGGTTTACTGCTGCTTGGCAGTGGAATCCTGATACTAACATCCATTTATTTAAAATCAGTTACATAAAGCTGAGGACACAGATATTGGTAATTCCTGGAGTTGAAATAAAGAAGCAATCTTTTCCAGAACTGCTGAATTTTTTTGAGTAGCAAAACTTTATAAAATCTTCAGAGTTGCAGAAGGATGGTTCTCACACTATGAAATTAGCAGCAATGTTAATAGTTTGATAGTAATAAACTGGAAGATACAATTAATTTTTGATAAATGAACCATCATAAATCTACAGAGAACAGTGTTGATTACATCTATGAGATCAAATAATGTCTTCTCAGATTTGCAATGCAACTTTAGGTTTTTCTCTTACCGCCAGTAACTTGCCCTTTGGTAGTTTTCAAATAAAGACAGGATTAGAAGGAATCTAGTTTGAATAGGAGCTATGGCCTGTAGGTGGTCATGGCTATCAAGATGATCAGGCTGTTTAGGAAAATGTTCGGCAGTCAGCAAATGTAAGGTCTGAACATGAAGATCTTCGTGGCCAATTAAAATACACATCTGTCACATTTAATTCCAACATAATCAAGGAAAAAGATTATTATCTTCCCAACTGAGGTGTTTTTAACATGTTTTGGACACACATTTTATACTCATTTCAGACTCATGTTATATCTAATCTACATCATCTTTCCTAGGTTTCTGTCAGAATTGAATTCTTGGTTAATTATCAATGATTGTAGGATTTTCTTCCCTGTGTTATGACTTATTTTCTTGTTCAGTTTTCTTGTCTTTTATTATATCAGGTCTCTCTAAACATTCTCTGTCCTTAAAAATCTTGCCAAATAACCCCTGGAGTGCATACCCATTTTAACAGCGTGAGAAAGCCCTCTGACATTTAAGTGCCTTACTTGCTCTCAGCTGGACATGTGCTTAACAATGGTGCTGAACAGGGCTTTTAGTGCTAATCTCTGGACAAATCTTTCTTCTTGGACCCTGCTGTGCTGGAAAAAGACATTTCTGCAACCAAAAGTGCCTCACCCTTCTTCCTCGGCTCTGGCCAGAGGTGGCAGTGTTGCTGACAGAGCTGATGCCCCTGTCCCAACACTGGCCATTTCCTGTAGGAACAGTTCAGCCCAACACCAAATTCTGCTTACACTGATGGTGGTCAACACCTCCACCAGAGCCACTGCCTGGACAGAGGCTGCCTACCACATCACAGCTCCCTTTCCTCAGGAACCAATGTAGAGGTGAGACTGGGAAAAAGTCTGAACACTTCCAGAGCTGAGTATAAAAGTGATTTAAGGTACAGCATGTGGCATGCCAGGAAACACTTCATTATGATTGTAGGTGTTACCCAAAGAGCGCTAGTGTGTTTAGCATTTTAGATTTTCTACCCTATAACACATGACACAAGGTTTATGCTGCACATGTTTAAGTCAGAAAAGGTGTTATAAGTAGGAAAATGGGGAAGGAATTAAAGAGCAAACAGATTTCTGAGTATGTTTGAGTTCATAAATAGCTTCTCCAAAGTAATATCTTTCTAGAAGATGAATCAGAAAAACATTATTTACTTCTCTGTAAGCCAACAGAGCAAAGGTGATTCATTTAGCATGACTAAAACATTAGGCATCTTTTTAGGATGGTCAGCAAACATCCTGCTCCTATATACTCAGTATCACACAGCCATTGGCAGAACCAAAATGGAAAAGTAAGGTTTGTTTATTTTGAGGACAACTTATTGTATTTTTTCCAACAGTTCTTCCTGCTGTAAGCAAACCTGCACTTATTTAGGGCCAGACACATCACTGTAAATTATCTCCCACAATGAAGGAGATGGAGCAGATTAATATGGGAAGCTTTTTTTAAAAAAAAAAAACAGAAAAAAAAAATGACCACAATAAACAACAAAAAGATCTCATTATAAACTGGAATGATGAATAAGTTGCACACACATAGGAACCCCTTCTGAGAAAAGAAGGTCAAATAGTTAAAAGAATTTTGAAACTTTGACTGTGATCTATGTGATTACTCAATATTTCTCTCATCAGTTGTTATAAACATATATATATGAGGGTGAAAAGCTCATTTAAGGCAGGAAGGATAGGCTGCTGGAAATGGCACAGCCTTTGTATTTAGGAGTAGAGCTGTCTAAATAACTAATCTTTCCACTCTTTGTCTAAACTTTGGAAAAAATTGTTTCAGGTCAACCCAAAATGACTTTTTTGTTAGTTTTGCTAGAATAAAAATGAAGGAAAAGGTATTTAAATTCTGATCAAATTAAACACAGTGCTTGATTATTTATCTTGCAGTTTGTTCTGTTTTTTTTTTCTTCATTTCAATTTTACGTTAGATTCAACTACGTTAGCCTTACTCTCAAAGTGTGTAAAGTGAGAAATCTGAACATTCTTTTTTTTTTCTAAAATGGGCTGAAAAAATTCTTATTTCTATGTCCACATTTATTTTCAATTTATACTATATATTAGCTTTATATCACAAATTCTTTTCATCAGAAAATCTTTTAGAACCCTTAGATGTTCTAGGAACGCGGCAAAAATTAAATCTAATGACTAAGGTAGATAATCCAACATTTTAAAAAGGCAAGGAATTAGGCAGGTATGTGCAATAAGTAATTAATAACCAGACTCAAAATTATCTTCCAATTAAGAAGATTTTTTTAAACAACATGTCAATATTGATTTGAAATGCGAATTCTCCAAAGTCACCAGCCTTTGGATGTCTGGAGTGTACTGCAGCCACAATGAATGGAACACATTTGTAACTGCGGCAGCTGAATTCTCCTTTCTTTTTTAGAGCTACCTCTGTTAAGTGAGCTCCTTGCATACATTTGATGTCACTTTTACCTTTCTGCCATTTTCATGATGAAAAGAATTAGTAAATACAATAAATGTGTCTGGGAAACAGGCAGAGCTGCCCTGCCAACATGGCTACTAATTTGTTTCCAATCCAGTGGCAAATTATTCTCTTTACAGGGAAGCAGAACCAGCTGGTGGAGGAATACTGCTGCAGTAAGCACAGCTCCTGGCCTGGCCGGCCGGCCACTCTGCAATTCTCAGCTTTACTGTTGCAAAATACCTTGGCAAAATAATAGGCAGAATGTGTTGCATTTATTCAAGAAAAACAAGAGATGATCCAAGTTACTTTATGAGGAAATATGAAGTGGACCCTGCCTGGGGTTTCTACGCCAGGTCATTCTGTGTGCTCAGAAAAACTCAGCACAAGAGGGTTGCTAAAGGGAAGCTTATGAGGGGTGTGGAAGGAAGAGTCTAAAAAAGGGAGGCTATGACACAAACCTTATGGATGCAGAAGGAGCAGTGGCTTAGGCAGAGCTCACAGCTCTTGTCTGCTACAACACCAAAATCCAGTAATTCCACACAGTGTGGGGTAGCATGGCTGATGTTATTTTATCTTAGTTTTATTTGAATTCACTATTTCAAATGACCCATTAGAAACAGCCCAGTCACCATCTCGCTCAGAGGGAGGGAGACCTTTCCCAGAGGGCTCTCCCAAAGGATATAACCCTGCAGGTGCAGCGCTGGGCAGAAAACTCACCATGGTAAAGTAGAAAGGAGCTACATTTATCCATTACTTATTCACTCTCTTCTCTATGGCCAACCTCTGAGCCTTTAAACTTTTTCTCTGTCCATCAGATGTTGCCTATATGAGTTTTGAAAGGATGGGTTGGCATTTGCTTGTAAGAACATCAGCATGACTAATCCTTAGCTCAGATTCTACCAAAATCTAATTCTTAAGTAATGATTTTTACTTTATATAGAACATAGAATGTAAATGAAGTGAAAGAAGGAAAGTGATAGAGAAGGGGGAAGGTTGCAGTAGTGGCAGGGTTTTTGCTGTAGCAGACTATTTAATATCTGAAATCTGGAACCACATGAGTAACTACTTTTTTCAAGCTTAAGGATTCTAGAGAACTTCAGGTTTAAAAGAGATTGTTTTCTAGGAAAGATGAAGTAGCTCATCCAGAAATTGCTGTCTCAATGCAGAACTCCTCTGTCAAGATGTAGTGACCTGTAATCTGCAGGAAACCAGATTAAATCCCCCAAATGGTTCCTCACGTTCCTCAAATGGATGTCTGCATACTACAGCTCATTTACAAACAGACAATGTGTCATTGGCAATTTTTTCACAGGGTGTTAATAAAAGGCTAATCAGTCCTTGTAGTAAGGGATTCTATAACAGCTTCTATTGATGGACTGTCTCTACCATGGCTTGTAAATCCTTTGTTTAAGGAGTCTTAGTATAAAGTGTTGCAATGACAGTAATAATCTAAATGTGCAACCAATTCTGCCTCCTCCGCTGCCAGCAATGCTGATAATGAGCTAACAGAAGCACTGCTATTATTGCAATGAAGCCTGCAGGGAGAAAAACCCTAAAGGCTTTTATTAGCAACACCAAGACATGCTGCTGTTTCATTCCAAACCAAAATGAATCACCTTTTCTATTTCTGGATTGGAACAGCAATTGCCTGCATTGCAATACGTTGCACAGTATGGCATAAGTGCTGCCCCTACTATGAGTAAACTCCAAGTACTCCTGGAGTCTTATCCAGGCAGTTTATATATTCTATTTTAGTTTTACAAAATGGGATATATAAACTTGGGGACTTCAAATAAGACAACTCAGCATACTCTTGCCTTTCTAAACATGCACAATGTTTA